TTAAGTTAGATACATGTTTAAAGTGATTTGAATAGAGCTATTCTTAATCGGTAAACGAGTGTCCGGTGATGTTTTCGTTAAACATTTACTGTGATTCATTCATCATGAGCATCATGGCATTCCTTATACATCCATGATATTTATCTTGTGCATTGGCATGCAATAGGTGTACCAGAAGGTGTGACACTGCTGGAATTCGAGGAACCGAGCGAGGAGCAGCAGCAGCCAACACCGGAGGTTCTGGAGGTGCAGCCCTTAGGAGAAGTGCCAGACGAGGTCGCCGTTGAGTGCCCAGATCACCGTCCATGCAACTTTGTGAAAGGCAAGCCCCGGAGCATATTAAGCCTAGTAATTTCCGAAATGCAATTAAAGTATTATTGTTACATATATATATTGTTGCATTAAGTTTAGGTGTTGGATGCAAACACTTGCTGCATTGGTTATCCAATCCTTGTCCAGATATTGATACCCTGAATCCTATGTAGCTCAGGTTCGTGTAGTGCTTAGCCCTGCTTAAACGCGGTAGAAGTCGGGTGATTTCCTGTCTCCTGTGAGATATAGGGACATACATATGGCACGGTTGGCTATATTTGCTATCGTGGAAAAGAACCTGTCTTAATTTGAAATGAAGACCGGACGGAGGCTTGCCGGTTTGCAGTGACTCCGTCTGTGTCGCTTAAGGACTGAATCTTGGAGCCTTTCCTGTTCATGTTGAACGCATGCCTCTCTCTTAGTTGGCCGGGCCTAGAGACCGACCACGAAGCCGAGTAGCTCACCTCAGGCCGGGAGTCAATAAGTATAAAGTGCGCCTTGGAAGGGAGCCGTAGGCGTGAGTCCAAGGACAGGTGATTTAAAAGTCCTGATCGTCCTAGCAGAAGGGTAATCCCTGAGAGTGCGGGCGCTGATCGAACCCGCGAATTTGGTTCCTGAGTTGTCCCAAATGTGACCCACGGCTACCCTTGCAAAGTATGCCAAGGTGAGAGTTAGGAATACCCCCTCAGCTGAGTTGTAATTCGATTCGAGTCACCGTCTCTCCCAGTTAGTGAGAATTTGACGGGCTTATCTCCAAAGTAGATACACTAAATAACATAATGGTTCAGAAATGATGATATGATGATGGCAGCCTTATTATACATGCTATGGTTAATATTGATTGCTCCTAATAAGTGAGTGCTCTAGTACAAGTGCTAATCTAGTGGACAGGTAAATGATGATAAGCTTGATGCTAAGTTTAAATTGGTCACTATATTCATAAGCTCTTTTATGCAACTGTATCAAGCTAGCCCACCTCATAAGTCTTGCATGACCCTTGGTGTCTTTTATTTCTGGTTTTAACGGGTAAGTCTAGCTGAGTACCTTCTCGTACTCAGGGTTTATCTCCCACCTGTTGCAGATGACTAGTTCTACTTTGGTTGCTGCAAGTATTGCCTTCTCCCGGCTGGGGATGAAGACTAGACTGTTGGGCGCGGTCTCTCCTAGTTCTCGTATCTGAAGATGCTTTTGTGGGACATGACTAAGATCTGGCAATGTATTTGAAACTATGAAGTTATGTACTAAACTATGTTGCTTCCGTAAATTTAAACTTGATTTGTAATATTTTATTTGAACTCTGATGGATGTAATCCGAATGCTACTTGTGAAATGTTGTAACGAATGATGTGTTGTGTTGAATCACTACGGTCTTGGTTTGTATGTCGAGAGTTGGTTGAAATCCTTCGTGATTTTCGGACTACCGGGATTATGTGAGCTTAAGTACAGGAATTTGATCACTTCGGTGATTGTTTTTGTACTTACGTTCTTATGATTTGGTCGGTTCTGTTACACAAACTATATAATTAGTTTCGTAATTAGTCTATATTTAATACTCCATGTATGTGTCCAAACATTCGATGGGACAGCGACTAAAATTTAGGAGGGGTAACCAAACACCACCTAAATCTAGTCCCATCATATTGGATATTTGATTAATTATAAAAATAATTACACAATTTGAGACTAATTTACGAGACTAATATATTAAGACTAATTAGTCTATAATTTGACAATGTGGTGCCACAGTAAATATGTGCTAATCATTGATTAATTAGGCCTTAACTGCGCGCCACTGACCGGACGCAGGACCCCAGCGTCCGGTCACTGCGTGACCAGTGTCCGGTGAACTCTGTGAAACCCTGTCTTTTCTGTACGGGCGGACACTCCGCCGGTGAAGTTTCGAACCCTTGCTCCCAAGTGCTAAACACAATGTGTATCACTTTTGTGCATGTGTGTTAGCATATTTTCATAAATGTTTTCAAGGGCGTTAGCACTCCACTAGATCCTAAATGCATATACAATGAGTTAGAGAATCTAGTGACACTTTGATAACCGTATTTCGATACGAGTTTCACCCTTCTTAATAGTACGGCTATCGAACCTAAATGTGATCACACTCGCTAAGTGTCTTGATTACCGAAACGAAATGGCTCCTACCACTTATACTTTTGCCTTGAGCCTTTTGTTTTTCTCTTTCTTTTTTTTCAAGTCCAAGCACTTGATCATCACCATGGCATCACCATCATCATGTCATGATCTTCATTTGCTTCACTACTTGGAATGTGCTACTTATCTCATGATCACTTTGATAAACTAGGTTAGCACTTAGGGTTTTATCCATTCACCAAAACCAAACTAGAGCTTTCACCCTACCCATCTTATATAGCTCGGGAGTAGGGTTACATGTCGGTTGAATCTATCCTGATCGGTTACATGATATGTGTTTACAAGGAATACGATATCTAGCATATTCGATCAGATCTTCCTTCGTCATCAAGGATGCTTCACGCAGTCTTGCGGCGCACGCCGACCTGTGTCGTGCCCCGCACGGCTTGATCTTGTGGGCTGGGCCTCCCCTGGCGGCTCGGCCCATGTACAACCCTATGGGTATCGGGGGTTATACCCCACATATAGTAAACATAGTTAGAGCTATAAATGTTACTACTATTTATTATAAACTTAAATAAAGTTAAATTAGTTTGGTTTACACAGGTATTGTTGTTGTATTTTTTTATAAACTGAGGGAGTAATACAACTGCTAAATGAGTAGTACTGCGTTGCTGATTTTTTTTGAGCCACACCATGAGTAGTGACTTAACATAGCACAAGAGAAGAGGAAATCTTATTGCTCGGAAACCTTGAACTTGAAGGAGCTGGCACGCACCTGGAACTGGCATGCACCTGGAACTGCTTCCTCCGTCCCAAAAAGAATGTGATCCTGTGGTTTAAACCTTGTCCCAAAATAAATGTAAATGTAGATGGGAGATGAGCTTTCTAGGTAGAACCCATCAATAAAAAAACACCACATGTAATTGGAAAATCGAGGAATACTCTAGATAGTTTAATTGCTTTTAAGCTTTGGTGTGTTAAGAGAAGGACATAGGAGAGGCACATGCGTAGTTTCACGCTTCCATTAATTTAACCTTAGAAAATGAAATTTATATGCTTTTTTGAGACGGGTGAAGTAGTGCACAGTACCACTGTACTCCGTACCAGTCCGGACTGGAATGAACTAGACTGGCCTGGAGGCTCATCAGACGCTGCTACTGCTGCCTGCCAGTGCCATTGCTAGTCAGCAGAACTTGTGTGTGCGTGTAGAAAAGACATCGCCGAAAGTTGATAGGACTGAGCATGCAATGCAATAGAGGTACAGGCGCAGGTGCCGACGGGCCACGCTGTGTTGACAAAGGAGAGGGATAGGTTTATGGCCCGGAGTAAATCTAGCCCCGTCACATTAGATATTTGATTAATTATAAAAATAATTACACAGTTTGAGACTAATTTACAAGATTAATATATTAAGACTAATTAGTCCATAACTTGACAATGTGGTGCTACAGTAAATATGCGCTAATTATGGATTAATTAGGCTCAATAAATTTGTCTCGCTAATTAGTCTACTCCTGTGTAATTAATTTTATAATTAGTTCATATTTAGTAATCCTACTAGTTAACATCCGATCATCTGACGTGACACATACTAAACTTTAGCCCCTTAATCCAAACACCCACTTAGACATGCACTAGTAGCGGATAGGTTTCACGTCTTCACAAGAGTTCTGTACCTAGACATTACAAAGTTGATACAGTATACAACGAAGAGAAATGATAATTTTTTTACGAGATGAACTAAGTTTTACGAAGATACTGTAAAATTTATCTATATTATTTTTATTTTCAATATATCGGAGTCTTGAAAATTGAAATATGAAACTAACACTAAGACTGGTCTTAAAGACACGGGCAATATGCACTTTCTGTATTTTTTTTTGAAATTTTGCTTCATTAGGATATATTTGACATGACTAGATTTCGATTTTCTCCGGTTCCTTGCATGTAGCCTGAAGCCCTATCAAAAAGGCACGTAGAAAAATGACTTCTCGCAGGGAGCTCAGAGAAGCATAACGGTTTTTATAATAAAAAAAAATTGAAATCGAGGAGCTCGAAGAAGCCATGAAGATTTTTTAATATGAAACTTAACCGAGAAATGTAGCTTCTCCTGACTCCTCATAAATTATTATAAAATATTAAAAACTGTCACTAGAGCAGTTTTTACAAAACGCTTAGTTTTAGCTCTACTAAAACAACTGCTCCACAGTGTTGCTACAGTATTTACGTTTTATGCCACTAGGCGTAGCAGCAGCTGCTACAAAAACAAGTAGTCAAACAGGTCCATGGTCGAATAGAAATGACATGATTTTAAATGGCTTTAAATCCAACACTTACTTGCAGGTAATTTTCAGGTCAACGTATTGGATCCGCAGTTGCTACACAAGGAGGAAGAGGAGAGCAAGAAGATCAATGATGGTTGTAATCTGTTGGAAACTGTCATCATGCAAGTTTTTGCTCACTTTGAATGGAGGTCTTCGAATAGAATGAAGTTTAGTCTCGATTTTATTCGATGTTCTAGTAACGATTGTGTTAGTTCTCTCATATAAGAGTTGTGGGTCTAGGTACTCGTTTCGAGAATGCAGCTAGCAAGTCTTGTTGAATGTTTGCAGGGAATGGAGCTTACAGATGCACCTGATGAACGGCTGCTGACACTTTCCGGCAAGCCATATACATCCAGAAGTGCTTATGCTGCGCTGGATCAAGTGACTGGCACGCCGGACGCTCATGGGCGGCACATCTGGACTACCCGGGTGCCTAACAAAGTTAAGATTTTTGCATGGCTCTACTTTAAAGACAGGCTGAGTATAAGAACTAATTTATTTGCCAAGCATATCCTGGACGATGAATCCTGCCAGCGCTGCTCCAACGCTACTGAAGATCGCTTGCACGTCTTCTTCGGCTGCCCAACCAGTGCTGAGCTTTGGGAGAGCACTGCACTTCTATCAGACACTGAGGTTTGGAGCGCCAACGTCCCTTCCCACTTGGATACAAACCTGTGGCCGTTTGTCTTGCTCACAATTCTGTGGAGAATTTGGGATGCCAGGAACGGAGAAACCTTCCGGAATGAGCCTTCCACTAGTCGTCGTATTCTTTCTAAAGTCTGTGATGATCTTGTAATCTGGCGTAAACGATTAAAGTTAGATAGTGATGTAATCAACTCAAGAGATTGGCACATTTACCTCTTATCTTGTAACTCTACAAAAAGCTCCATTTGAATGGATGCTTTCGGTTTTGAATGAAATCAGGTGGGGAAGCTCCCCCTATTTTTTTTTTTTTTTTTTAATGCATTCCTGGACCCAAAATAAAGCTAAACCTTCACTTTTTGCATTCAGCTAACAGCAAAATAGTCCCAGAGACCACATGAACTTTCACATTTTGGTATCCTTCATTTTAGATTTCAATAAGAAACAGGAGGGAAGGATTTTATCTTCATTTTAGCTTCCGATAAAAATAGGAGTGGATGGTTTTAGCTTGTTTGTCGACAGCATATAGTCCACCGATTATCTTGAACTCAGCTATGTACTTAGCAATTAGCATTTCTCGCCTTTTCTTTTCAATGGTGTAGGAATATATCAACAACGGCAAAGACAGCTCTGCGTTTACAGATCTGTCAAACTAACTAACCCCATCTTGGGAACTAGCTCGGTAGATGAGAGGCGAAGGCAATCAAGAGAAAAAGGATAACAATCCCAGCATAAAATTAAACCATGAACAAAGAAAACATTCATCACAACATTTAAACCATGACCAAAGAAAACATTCATCACAATATAGACTAGGGCTATGCATACGCAAATCCAAGCGTGCATCCACTGGGCCTGTTCGCTGGTTGTTGCTGGTGCTGGTTTGGGCTGGCTGGTGCTGGTTTTTTGTGAGAGAAAAACACTGTTGGCTGGCTGGTTTGGGCTGTCTGAAACCAACAAGCGAACATGCTGACTGCATAACATAAACCCTAGTAGCGACGCTTGGATTTATGTTATGCAATAAGTGGATGCACGCTTGGATTCATCACAATATAGACGAGGACGACGTCGTGGATGCTGCTCTTGTCCATCGCAGCGTCACGGAGGCACTTCTCCACGGCCTCCATGCACTTGTTGAAGAGGTCTCTGTTGAGCTCCTCGAAACGGCAGCGCGTAATGGTCGCCTAGAAGTCAATGCCGTCGTGGAAGGAGTCAATGTCGATGCTGGTCTGGCTCGTGGACGACAGCAGCCTCTTGGCCCTGTCACAGGCCGTCTTCGGCCGCCGGATCGCCTTTGGGTTGCTTCGGAGGTCCATCTTCTTGAGTTTCCTTATGAACTCGCGCAGGAAGTGTTTCACCATTTCATTGTCGAAGTCTTCGCGCACCAAGGTGAGTGTCACCAGCGATGGCCTTCACCTCGAACATACCCATGTCGATGTCGAGGCCCGGATCAATGTTGAGGAGGGAAACGTCCAAGGTACCGCCGCCGAGATCAAAGATGAGCACCGTCCTCCTTCCATCTCTGCTTGGCATCTTGTCAAGACCATATGAAATAGCTGCAGTTGTGGGCTCGTTGATGATGCGCATGACGTCCAGGCCGGCAATGGTGCCGGCGTCAATGGTGGCCTGGCGTTGGGAGTTGTTGAAGTAAACCGGGACGGTGATGACAGCCTGCTTGATCGTCGTCTCAAGGTAGACCTCTGCAATCTCCTTCATCTTTGCCAGCACCATGGCAGAGATCTCCTCGGCAGCGAACTGTTTCTCCTCACCTTTGTAATGCACCACAATCATCGGCCGGTCCTTGCGACCAGGGACGACTTTAAGGGTCTGTTTGGTTTCCTGGCCTATTTCTTGTCTGTCTAGCTTTTAAGCTTGGGCAGTTTTAGCTTGTCCCAGGCAAGTCAATCCCTATTTGTTTGGTTCTCTGTGTTGTCTAAGTCTGGCTAGCAAATGGTGTGTTTGTTTGCCTGGTTTATTTTACGTAGAATCACCTCTTCTTCGGGCCGGTAAGTATACCCACGTTGAGGAAATTTGTCGAACAGGTGGTGGGCGCGCAACACCCCGGCGAGCACGGCATCACGGCCATCTCGGCAGCAGACGACGACCTCATCTGCTTGCAGTTGACGCCGTCCGTCCGTCCTCCGCGAGGACGAGCCCGAGTGCGGCGTGCCGCGCGCGGCGCCACGTGGTCCGCCGCCGCGGACAGCACCGTCGCCAATGCCTCATCCACCTGCAGCATCCTCTCTTTTCCCCACTCTCACCGCAGCTCCGCTTCAATTTCCCAAGGCTCGTCCTCCCCGGCAGCAGACGACGAGCTCATCTGCTCCTTCATCTGCTTTGCGGGATCGTAGGTGGACATCCTGGTTGCAGTTGACGACGAGCTCACTGCAGTCACGGGGTCGTCCTCAGCGACCACGGCAGCAGACGGAGTGCTGTCGGCTGGTCCTCGCCGGTGACGGAGGAGGGCGCCTCGTCATCAGCGTGCGCGAGCTACGGCCGACGACCCTGCCGCCGCGAGCGAGGAGGTGCAGCGGCAGGAGCGTACAGGAGCGGCGCGCGAGCGAGTAGATCGAGGAGCAGCGCATCAGCGGGGCTGAGCGGCGGGAGTGGTGGCTCCGTTCCCTGCGCCGGCGACCGGGAGGGCGAGCGGCGTTAGCAACCGGGAGGTGACACGAATCGATTTCGGGCGCTGGTCAAGCCAGCCCCAGAAAAACGGATCGCCGATCCGTTCCCAGGAGCGTACGGCGGCCAGCTGAAGCGTGGCTAAGGCCCAAGAACTGGGAGCCAAACATCCACATCTTAGCTCTAGCAGGCCTGATCAGGGGTTGACCACCCAACTAAACATGCTCTAAAGGCCACATCTTCCTGTACGATCTCGTCGATAAATTGGCGGCCGATCAGTCGCTTCACATGTGTAAGAGACTAACCATCAATCAAGTGAACTTTGCATCAAGAATCAGATAATCAGCTATTCAGTTCGTGCCATTTCACTTTAGTTTTTTTTTAGTTTTGATTTGAATGAAATGCTACCTGTTCTTGAGTGTCCCTCATGGCCTCGTAGTTGCTCATTTGCATGCAACAATTGAACGAGTCTATGTTTTTCCTCTAAAAAATTGAAGGTTCGGATAGCTCTAAAAAATTGAAGGTTCGGATAGCCAGTATTATTAAATAGTAAATACGTGCCGGTATAGGGAAACTAGATCCGCTGGGTCATTTAATTTGGCTCCGTTCGCTTCGCTGAAAAAACAAGTCGAAATATTGTTCTGGCTGATTTATTATGAGAAAAAAATACTGTTCCGGTTAAAAAAATAAGCTGAAAAAGACGGATTATAAGATAAATGAACAGGGCATTTACGGGGAAGAATGGGAAATACAGAAATTTGTGAGTATGAACAGGTTACGGTACTAGCAGGCAACAGGACGAACGCCCTCGTCATATGATCTGATTCAGATCAACGTTGGTTCTTCCGCAGCATCTTTTATAATCCGCGGGCAACAAAGAGCAAAGCACGCCACCTCTGCGCTCGCACTTTTTCCTAGTAGTACCAATCACGAACACCTTGGCGGCGTGCAGCGACGCCGACGTATATATATAGAAACAAACGCAATAAAGTTCAGAGTTTCTCACCATGGATGGTGTTGTCGGGGTTCAGAGCGGCCTGGTTCACGGCCGCGTCGCCGACGAGCCTCCCGGCGTCGGCGAACGCGACGCAGGACGGCGTGAGGAGGTTGCCCTGGTCGTTGGCGATGACCTCGCCATGGTCGTGTCGCCACACGGCCACGCACGAGTACGTCGTCCCCAGGTCGATGCCGACCGCCGGCCCGTCGCCAGTCGATGCCGCCATCTCCATGTTCTCAGATGCGAGGCAAGAAACAGATGCCGCTGCCGCCCCAGACGACCTCCGGGAGTCGGAGAGACTCCAGGTGTGAGCGCGGCGCCGGCGCGAGAGTACGGTGGTATTGGCTGATTTGAGAGAAAAAAATACGGCTTACAACCTAAACGAATAAACGAATAGGACGACGTATAGCGCCGACGATTGCGATCACGATGGCCATTAAAGTTTGCATCAGGATTCGCGAATACTCCAAGCAACCGTCCCCTCGATTCAAAAGAAATGTTTGAACTTTTGTCAAAGCATCTAGTACAGCTACACATTTTTAAGGTACAAATAGGAGAGCAGTTCCAAACAGCCCATCACGGAGTCACGGTCGCGCAGGTCACGCACGGCGCCCAGACGCACGCTCGCGCAGCCGTTCACGAGCGGTTCGCGGTCGGACGGGCTGCAACCTTTTTTTTAGGGGAAGACGGGCTGCAACTGTGAGCCTGACTAGATTGCAATAAAGCACCAACAGGCAACTGGGCCCTGGCGTCCAAGCAGCAGAGCGGTTTAGCAGCCCATCGGCCCATCGGCCGGTGCACGAGCGTCTCCTCATCCTGCCGCACTGCCCCACTGTGTCTGCGAGTTCAACTCCAACCCATCCTTCGCCCTTCCCCTTCCCAGCCGCCCCTCTCCCTCGCCCGGTCGTCCCAGACGGAGCTGGCGGCCTGGCGCGTCCAACTCCAACCCACGAAGACCTCCATCGGCGGCGGCGAAATTAGGGCCGACTTCTAGAGGTTTCACTTCACAGGTTAATCAAACACCAGTTGTGGGGACAGCGCCGCCTCTTCCAATCGCCGGTTCTCTCTGCCACACTGCCCTGCGGAGCGCCCACCGCGGAAACCGGTTGGTGCGCGTGCGTGGAGCGGAGGCCATGTCGGCGGCGAAGGTCAAATCGGCCGCCCTCTCCGTCACTCACAAGTGCCGGGTACTGCTCGCCAGCAATATCAGCGACCGCTCCGCTCTTCCCCGCTGCGCTCCTCCCTTGTTAGCTACTGCTGTTCTTACTCTTACTTCCCTCGCCCCTGGTTTCGCAGAACATCTTGGCCGCCGGTTGGGAAGCCCACCTCAACACTGTCATGGCCGACGCCAAGGGAAGGTGCGTAGGCTCGTGTCGTATCATTTCATCTGTGTATTTGTGCGCATAAGGTCTGGAACAGTAACAGCTGTTTGTCTTGATTGGTTTCTGTTGGGGTGCTCTTGGGCAGCAAGGATAAGATTTACACGTCGAGGGTGCACTACATGATACAGAAGGGGACGCCCTACCTGATTGTCCCTGAGAATGACATGCACAACATTGTAAAACTCTTAATTCCTGCTGTTCTTGTACTTGTGATGTTCGATCAATTGTAGTTGCTGTTATGGTTAAATTTCATTAAAATATGTTGCTTGTGTGGAATCTTGTGTTGGATAGAACATTATAATCGACGAGCGGGGGTCTCTTGCAGTATGCAGTCCGATCCGTGGCCGAGTTGCGAGCTTATTGAAGTCACTGAAGAAGGTGCTTCTCTATGAATTTCAACTTGATGCCATCAAAATTGTTGCTTGTTTGCTTTTCTCGTATTGCCTGTACAAGCACCTTAATCTTGTTGCTGAACACAGACGCCTCCTCGTGTTGCTATGACTGGTGATGTTCTGCGCCTGAAAGACTCAAAGGTAAACTTGTTCTGCAGTCCCCAGCATGCATAAACATGCTTCATTGCTTACTATAGGTTGTAAGGTGATGCCCGCTAATCTTTGTGTACTGTGCTTAAGGTTCCAATTATTGCTGATAGCCTGAAGAAAGCTATTCTGAAGGAACACGAAGCTGCTAGTGGCGCTAGTTATGGAGTGTCAGCAATACTGTCTTCGGCGGGTGCTACCTGCAGGTCACGGAGTGAGGGCCTCCTTAGTCTACTCAGTGAGGAGAGCTCTTACAGCATCTTAAAATTTGACATAGGGTCTGTAATACGGCTTGTTTATTTTCTGATGATGTTAGGTATCTTTTCTTACTACTTAATTCAGCACAGCTGAATTTTCATAATGCTATTCTTGCAGTTCATGTGTCTACATAGACTCCAGTGGGAGCAGCGATAATATTGAATTGGACAGCTTTGAACCACCAAAAGCAGATCTGCTAAGTAAGTCTTTTTTATTCTTACAAGTTCTTTCACCCCTGCTGCCCTGCATCTTCAACTTTATTCTTTTGATGGCAGCTATATGCAGACCAAATGTTAAGTTAGATATATAACTCCAGGATGCTACTAGTCGGTTGCTTTCAACAATTATATGTTTCCACACTTGTTTGTACGACAATGTTAATTTTCTAAATATGTATTCTCCTTCCTAGTGCCATTCTCTGCGAAACTTGTGGATGGTATCAACCGAAATGACTCGAGGAGGAGGGCACTGATGATTTTCTGTTTTGAGTATTTTAATGTGATAGCAAGAGTAAGTTATTCTCTTGTATCTGCACAAATTGCAATGTTGCATAGGACGCTCTTGTTGTTTCTGATATGTGAGGCTTCTTTCTTGTTGTCTGAATTATGACCTTTCTATTAGTTCAGTACAATTAACTATCATATCTATCTTTGCTTGAAGAGCGCTGTCATGCTTTCCATTGACCACCACGGTTTTGATGTCCTCGCCAAAGTGCCTGAAAGAGCCATCCTTACTGATGTCCCTCGACAATACCACTGGAAGGAGTTCAGGTTCACATTCAAGGAACCAGCCAAGGATGCTGAGGACTTCTGCCGCATGCTGATTGGGTTAGAGGAAGAGGTTTTGCAGAGCGTGAAGAGCTATAGTGGTTTAGGGTGACAACCCACTTGCCAGGTTCACATTCAAGGAACCAGCCAAGGATGCTGAGGACTTCTGCCGCATGCTGGTTGAGGTTTTGCATAGCGTGAAGAGCTATAGCAGCTTAGGGTGACAGCCTACTTGCCAGAAAATCAGTGAGAAACTATATCTGATATTCAGATTCCGGTACTCAATTTTTATGGTTGGAACTTTGAAGTATGGTTTCAGGTTGCTATGTTATTGGACAATATGGTTTCTCGTTAGTAGAGTAGATGATGTTTGAACATGGAGCGGCAAGCTACCAATATATGATTGAATGGTATTCATATGATGTTTATTTATATAGATATAAAAAGTTGTTAAAAGTGAAAACCCTGGATTGCAAACCCAAATTTTATAACTCTAACTGAATTTATAGAAAAAAACATCAAGATTTATTATATCAAACTAGTATCATTAGATGTACCATAAAATATATTTTTATAATATGTTTATTTTATGTTATAGATGTTGTTACTCTTTTTTATAAAGTTAGTTAAACTTAAAAAAACTTGACTGACACGGATTCTAAGAATTAATTTATTTTTGGACGGAGGGAATAGTTATTTTTATACGGGCTGCATGATTGACTTGTGTGCGCATCTTGTAATTGCAGTACGGTGTTCTATGTGAAGTCAGTATTTGTTGCTCCCCTAGTGCTCCTGTTGCTAAGCTTCAGGTTTTTTTTTCTTCTGAAATCTTAGTTATTCATTAGTTTTTTTTTTGACAAAATACTCGGCGAGCTTTATTGATCAAGAGATATTACATCGTTCATCATAAATTCAAAAATAAAACTAGGGGGCTCATCGTCCCAACTACAATTAAGTTTCGTCTGCATGCCTCGCCTAGCCAGCTCATGTGCCGTCTTGTTCGCATCTTAGTTATTCATTAGGTTAATAAAGGTTTTTAGCCATCTAAAATAGATTTCGAAGACGAATTACCTCCAATACATGCAGGAATGAAAAGTATATTAACTAATCAATCACTATTTATAGCCAGTATAATAATAATTTATAATAAACTTAAACATGAACTAGGGGCCCTGTGTATGGCCAAAAAAGAAAATGCATGAAAAGAGTACTAGGATTCAGTTTGTAATAATTATTTAAGCAAAACTATATATCAAAATTTCCTCATTTAGTCGACTTCTTCGATCTTGGGGCCAGCACCGCTGCCACCAGCCGGCGGAGCATCCTGGTCCATGCCACCGGCCATGTCAGGACCAGCGGCGCCCTGGTACATCTTCGCGATGATGGGGTTGCAGATGCCCTCCAGCTCCTTCATCTTGTCCTCAAACTCGTCGACCTCGGCGAGCTGGTTGTTGTCGAGCCAATTAATGGCCCCCTCGATGGCGTCATCAATCTTCTTCTTGTCGGCCTCCGGGAGCTTGGAGGCGATCTTGTCATCCCTGATGGTGTTGCGCATGTTGTAGGCGTAGTTCTCGAGCGAGTTCTTGGCGTCCACCTTCTTCTTGTGCTCCTCGTCCTCGGTCTTGTACTTCTCTGCCTCCTGCACCATCTTCTCGATCTCCTCTTTGCTCAGGCGGCCCTTGTCGTTGGTGATCGTGATCTTGTTCTTCTGGCCGGTGGTCTTGTCCTCCGCCGACACGTTGAGGATGCCGTTGGCGTCCATGTCGAAGCACACGGTGATCTGGGGGACGCCCCTGGGCGCCGGAGGGATGCCAGAGAGCTCGAACTTGCCGAGCAGGTTGTTGTCTTTGGTCCTGGCCCTCTCACCCTCGTACACCTGGATGAGCACGCCGGGCTGGTTGTCGGAGTAAGTGGAGAAGACCTGCTCCTTCTTGGTCGGGATGGTGGTGTTCCTGGGGATGAGCACCGTCATGACGCCTCCGGCCGTCTCCAGGCCGAGCGAGAGCGGCGAGACGTCGAGCAGGAGCAGGTCCTGCACCTTCTCGTTGCCCTCGCCGGTGAGGATGGCGGCCTGAACGGCGGCGCCGTAAGCGACAGCCTCGTCTGGGTTGATGCTCTTGCACAGCTCCTTGCCGTTGAAGAAGTCCTGGAGCAGCTGCTGCACGCGGGGGATGCGGGTGGAGCCGCCCACGAGCACGACGTCGTGCACGCTGCTTTTGTCCATCTTGGCGTCGCGGAGGCACTTCTCCACGGGCTCCATGCACTTGCGGAAGAGGTCCATGTTGAGCTCCTCGAACCGGGCGCGGGTGATGGTGGTGTAGAAGTCGATGCCCTCGTAGAGCGAGTCGATCTCGATGGTGGTCTGGGCGGTGGAGGAGAGCGTCCTCTTGGCCCTCTCGCAGGCGGTCCTCAGCCGCCGGAGGGCCCTGGGGTTGCCGGTGATGTCCTTCTTGTTCTTCCTCTTGAACTCCTGCACGAAGTGGTTCACGAGCCGGTTGTCGAAGTCCTCGCCTCCCAGGTGGGTGTCGCCGGCGGTGGCCTTGACCTCGAAAATGCCCTCCTCGATGGTGAGGAGCGAGACGTCGAAGGTACCACCACCGAGGTCGAAGATGAGGACGTTCTTCTCGCCGTCGCTGCTCGACTTCTTGTCGAGCCCGTAGGCGATGGCCGCGGCGGTGGGCTCGTTGATGATGCGCATGACGTTGAGGCCGGAGATGACGCCGGCGTCCTTGGTGGCCTGGCGCTGGGAGTCGTTGAAGTAGGCCGGGACGGTGACGACAGCGTTCTTGATGGTGGTTCCGAGGTAGGCCTCGGCCGTGTCCTTCATCTTGTTCAGGATCATGGAGCTGATCTCCTCGGCCGAGAACTGCTTCTCCTCGCCCCTGAACTGCACCCCGATCATGGGCTTGTCGCCGGAGCCCGGGATCACCTTGAAAGGCCACAGCTTGACGTCACTCTGCACCGACGCGTCAGAGAAGCGCCGGCCGATGAGCCGCTTCGCGTCTGCAAACGGATCAACAAACCACGCAGCGTATTAGATCCACACCCCGCGTATGAACGGATCAAGCAAACAGATAAACAGCGTTCACATAACAAAAGAAAGATTGGTGATGCTGGACTTACCGAAGACGGTGTTGATGGGGTTCATGGCGACCTGGTTCTTGGCCGCGTCGCCGACGAGCCTCTCGGAGTCGGTGAACGCGACATACGACGGCGTTGTACGGTTGCCCTGGTCGTTGGCGATGATCTCGACACGGTCATGCTGCCACACCCCGACGCACGAGTAGGTCGTGCCGAGGTCGATGCCGATCGCCGGCCCGTCTCCCTTTCCGGCCATGGAGAGACGCTCTCGTCGAGAGTATCGGGGAGAAGGGAAAAAAATATCTTCTGGACTCGCGGGGTCAGCGCGTACGTGGTGGAGGAATTGAGGAGGAACGGAGGAATCGGTGGACGAGGATTTAAAGGTTTGTGTGGCCGGGGAGGGGTTCTAGAAAGTTCCGGCGCGTCCCGGCCGTCGGATGCGATCTGGACAGTGGTGCCGTCGAAACGGGCGCGTCGTGGGGAACTTGGACCCGTTCGTGGAGGCTAATTCCGGCAGCCAATTGTGAGGGTGGGGGATTCAAGAGTGTACCGGAAGGTTCTGGAGATGGAGACGTTCCCTCTCGCGTCGTGGGTGACTGGCGGTTGATGCGTTGCTTCGGCGTGTTGCCGTGTTGGGTTCGATCCCGTTTCGGAGGCCGCCGAGTTTGAGTGTTTGACCGAGGAAGGTTCTTGCTTATTTTTGGCACAGCAGACCACGAATTCCTTCGAAATTTGGAAGCCCAAGAGGCCGTCTGTGTAAGCCAGGCCGTTTTCAAGAGTCCCAAGCATGTGCCACGGCCCAGTGACATTTTATCATCATCATCCAATAGAAAGGGGCCTAGATTTCCTAAAAGATAATCATCAAGACGCGTCCCACACACGCTTCGATTCTGCGGTTTCGGTTAGCAGTCGGTGGTGTGTGGTGCAACACCCACAGTCCCACACTGCCACGCAAAAGGAATCGCGGTGCCATGTCGCCGTCTTTGCTTTCCGGCGATCTGGAGGAGAACCTATTCCGTGCAGTGATGCAGACGCTCGTTGGGCCCTTCATCAGATTCGAAGCCCATAACCTATTCCATCGTCGCGGTTTGCGGTCAAATATTCTCGCACCAAAGCTACACATTCCAGGGATTAGGAATTGAACCATCTTGAAAAAAAAAATCATGAACTTGGATTATGATAACTTAACTTTGATAGTTGACCTTTCTGGGATCTAATCTGGATGTCCTTAATAACCTAGAAGGGATTGTTCAGCTGGAATATCCACAGTTCAATTTGCCACAAGAGTTAGCCATACCTTGGCATGAGTATATGTGGACAGAGTGCTGGGGGTATTTTCTTGCACATGACAGATTTGCTCACAACAGTGACTTCTGCACCTTCTGCATTCCTGAAGCCAAAATGCGCTGTCTGGGACTGCCCCAGGCCTGCTATTGGATCAGAAAGTTGGCATGATTATTGTAGCATGTATCATGTTGATTTGGCTGTGCAGGAAGAGGGCGCTCCAGGCAAAATAACTGTGATTCGTCCAAGAGGCATTAATGTGCTGTTTGTGTCAGTGCAAAAATCCAAGGAAAAATGTTGGGGTCCCTGTCTACGAAGGAGCTGCTACTGCAAAGTCTCCGTGGAATGCACCTGGTAAGGTTTTCATTCATGACTTGTGCCTATACATGGTACTGATGAACGTTTTTACTAATCCTTAGCCATCCTCTATTATTGCAGAACTTTTCGATCTTTACATCTTTGAAGGTGAATATATCATAGAATGGTTTTCTTTGACAAACCAAGGAGGGCATTTGACAGTGGAAATCGGGAGCAGTGGTCCTTGCTAGATTACAACAGCCGTGGTTGGCATGAATCTAGGAAGCAGGTGGACTTTTGGGTTCTGAAGAGGTCCTGCTACATGGATCCACAGCCATCTAGCAGTTATGAATGTCACATCTATGAATATGAGATCATTGACTATGATGCTTTTGCCTTATATCGGCTTAAAATTCAAATCTTCAGATGCAAAGAAGATTGCTAAATCAA